CAGCGCCACCCCCGCCACCCTTGCCCCCCTTGCCCTTGCCGGTGCGGCGCCTCCCACCAGGAGCAGAAGCAGCGCCAGCAGACTCAGCACCAAGGAAGTCAACAGCAGCAGCAGTAGCATAGGAGGGAGCGAGGGGAGAGGGAGAGCACCCCTCAAAGATGGGGGTGCGAGGAGCGCCGCGAGCAGCACCTACAGCTACAATGCTCTTCTCGGCTGCTAGCAGCTTCTCCTCTAGGAGGGCGACAGTGAGCTCAGTGGGACAGCGAGCAAGGAAATAGTCGCGCACTGAGCTGAGGGTGTCAGGGAGACGGGTGACTATGAAGTGGAGTGTCCAGTACAGTGGAGGGGGGTTCTTAGCGCAGAACTCAGTGGGAAGGGCGGCACGCAGGCGAGCGTCACTAGTGCGAAGGTGGGTGATAAGATCGGCGACTGTAGCAAAGGTGGACAGCTCAGGGAACAGGTAAGGCAGCATGAGGCGGCTAAGCTCAGCTGTGGCCGGTGAGGAGTAGCGAGCAACGACAGCGTCGTACAGGGCCTTAGCGGATTTGCAGTCGCCAAAATGCTCGAGCTCAGCTAACGGCAGGTGACTGCGAATGGCTAGGCGAGCAGCTGCGTCACGAGTCTGCCAGTGGGAACGAACACTAAGCTCAGCTGTGGCAGGAGGGGCAGGCGCAGCACCAGACGCATAATCATAGAGCGACACATGCTCCTTGCTATCGCTCAGGAGGAACAGCTGCAGGTCATCTAGCCAAGTGGTGAACTGCACAGGGCGGCCCTCAGCATCGAACGACAGCACGCGGATGGAAGCCATAGCGACAGTATGACAGAGCAGCGCAAGCTACCGCAGCAAGGGTGGGCAATTGCGCACGGGTAGGGAGCAGCAGGCGGCGCTGCAAGCGGGCAGCGCGGCGGACAAGCGGCTCAGTGGACGGGCAGCGCGGCAGGCAGGCGGCGCTGCAGGCGGGCAGCGCGACAGGCGGGCGACTCCGCAAGCGGGCAGCGCGGCGGGCGGGCGGGCAGCGCGACGGGCGGCGCAGGGCACAGCGGGCGGCGAGCGGGGCTGCAAGGCAGCGCGACGGGCAAAGCAGGGGAGGGGGGAGGCACGCGGTAACCGCAGCGTGCGGTGGTGGGCCCTAAAAAAAAAACGATCGGATGGTCCTAGGGACCACCTGCTCTGAATACCATCTCAGAATACTAGCGTAAGAATGATGCATTGAAAGAAACAGTTGGGTACAAGTAGCTAACCCTAGTTGGGTTTGTACCCTGTATTGGCTACCCCACTACAGCCTACCCACATATATATAACACATTACAACTTAACAAGAGTAACAAAACATCAAAACCAAGTTGCACTTAAACGAGTTGCACGTTGTGCTTCCATCCACCTATTAAACTATTTCTGCAATCACAAAGCATGAAGAAACACGAATCAGCAAACGGACGGCAAAATCTTGTCAAAATAGAGGAGGACAAACAAGGCTTAAGTGAGCAAACGGGGATGAAAAACGAATACTAAATATCCCATGCTTTATTGAATGACAGATTGCCTACTTACATTTTAGAGATGTACAAATATACGTAGACGGAAAGAGGAAAGTACGTAGGAAGGAAAAAGAAAGGGATTGGAAATAAAAGAAGGAAGGAAAAAGAAAGGAAGATGAAAACACGAGGAAAATAACAGGCGAAGGGAAAACGAACGGATCTTGGAACGAAAGTGAAAGGGAGAGAGAAGGCAGATAAGCACCAAATGATTGAGAAAAGGAGGAAAGTTTGTAGGAAGAAATGATAAAAACAACACGAAAGAGCGAGACACGAATCAACACATCATGCAAGTATAAAACGCGTACAAGAAGAAGGAAGGAACGAGAAAGCGGAGACATGCATAACAACGACAAGTGGTTAGGCAGCAAGTTACAAGAATAAGATGTATGGAAAACCGAATCAGTGAGGAAGTTTAAGAAATGAAGGAATACAAGGAGAGAATAACAAGACAGAAAGAAGGAATGAAAGAGACTAACCAGATAGTTCAAATCAGAAATATGAGGAAAATAGAATCAATTGAAGAAATGAGAAAACACGTGAAAGAAACCACTTAATAAAGGGAACTTCAGACATACTAGTAGAAGTTACAGGTTGAGTACGTTTCACATAGTATTATTGTAAACTAGCAAGAAAATGCGAGAAGGAACATATGTTTCGAGATCGCTCGTTTATATCGTTTCACAAGGAGCGGTAGAGGAATAATGATAGAGGAAATGGTAGAGAAACTTGCAAGAGAGTAGAACAGAGAAAAAACTAGAGTTAAGAAAAAAAACGGAAATAATACCGTGACGCGGATTAGGGAGAGACAAACGGACGGGAGAGAAAGAAAGAGATGGACGAGGAGAGGGTTGGACAAGGGAAAGAGACTAAGTCGGCGTTCTGAAATTGACATAAAGAGAAAACGTAGGAGTACATTGGACTAAATAACGAGGTTCTTTTGCCGAGATCTACATATCTTTCTCCTTAAATCATCGAACGAATACAACAAGCATTTAGGCGGCTCACCTAAGAAGCTGTAATCGAGTGAGTTAGTCTGATGAGTAGCTGGAGGACACCAGCGGGAGCTAAGGGAAAACCAGGAGTTGTTGCGGGATGAGGCCATTGAACAAAAGGAATCCCGAAACCCTAAGCTGTTTACTATAACATCGTAAATTAAACTGGGATGGTCGTTACGAAGTACTACATTTGTTTCGTTAATCGATTCGCGAAGTTTGTGTGCGAGAAGTCTGCAGATCGAATCTTGGCGGTGTCGAAATGGATTTTGAGTATCTACATGATGTGAGTTTTATTAGCAGGAATGTTACAAGCACTATTCACCTTCTATTTTGGCCTGCTTAGAGCAGAATTAAATTCTTATTTCGTACATATAAATTGCAAAATATTGATTGAGATTTATATTCTAAAATCACAGCATTTAAAACACGGAGGAATAATTAAAGGAACTTGGCAATTGTATGGGCGCTAAAATTATATATACTTTATGTTTATATTCATTAGCAAAATGCCGTTTATATCAATGAGGACATCTATATCAATGATGGCATTCATTAGCAACATGCTCCGCAACCCGAAGACGATTTAGTCGACTCTTGTTTTTTTTGTCATCGCTCTCTTGTCCCGTTACACTTTCCCTGCGTACCAGTGACCTGTTAAGTCAGGTGTGCCTGCAATCTCTTTGTGAGTCCTTCGCAGTCAACAACAATCTTGTCGAGGTGGAAGATATCATATACAATTACAGTATTTGTTACTGTATTCAGAAACCAAGTTCCCCTACGGGCTGGGATGCTTTACCTCCCCGCATTCGAAAACCGGGGCAAAGACCACCAAAATGGAAAAGGACAAACAACCGACAAACAACCGGGGCAAAGACCACCAAAATGTGTGAAACATCAGGCGTGATAGAAGGGACACAACACAACAAGCCGCCTACTAATGAAAGCATTTCGAGTTCACAGCTTCGTGATCATACTGTACACAACCCATCTTGCGGTGGATTTGTTCCGCCCACCCGAAAGGTTGAAGTAACCCGAATTCGGAAAGTGTTGGCACTTTTTGTTCGTGCACCACATCCAATCTGGAATACAGTATCACGACGGCGTCGCGAGGCCGACTTTTATGCGAACATGATTAGTTGGTTCGGCAGAACTTTCCCGAGTCAGCAAGAGCAGATTTGGAGCCTTATGCTGCTGACGTGTTCGCCAGTCATATTCTGTTTTGTAGCTTTTCGGAGACAAAAATGAAAATATCTTATCGTGTAGAACACTTGGCTGAGAAGATGGTCCCTCGTGTGAGCTGATTTGTCAGAGACATTGTGACGTGGACTCGTGGTGGATTGCGTATTGCATGTCTGGGTTCTCCTGATTCGACGCTTGAGATAAGACGCACCCTTTCCACCCCGCCCGAAACCACCTTGGTTTTCTAGTGGAATCAAGAGGTGCTCGGTGGAGAAATCTGAGGAGGAGGATCGACTGTTCAACCATGCGTTGGACAGGGTCAGTAGAATGAAACTGTCGAATGTACTGTCGCAGGCAGTGCAATATATATTCCACACTGTACTGATGGTTTTTCTGGGTTGTTGTAGGGTGTCGTCGATTTCAGGGCACCTTTTCCGGTCAACTTTAAAAAAGTTGGTTTGGAACAAGGCTGCTTGAGCAACCAGCTGGCCAGTTGGCAACTCTGCTCCTCACTTGCCACTTGCGCGGGAACTCTGCCGTGTTGAGAAGTGGTCTCGTCGGGCCTGCATCACAGTAGCCGAGTGCCTCAACTGGACACCACAAACCACACCACACCACGCCTCACACACACCTAGTAACACGAGTCTTGTGGAAGTTGAACCCTCACAGTGTTGGTGGAACGAGTTTCAGGAATCGGGAGGCGAAGCGGATGGAACCTCCTCCCCATACAGTACACGACGACGAGTCGCAAAGTGCCCAATATCTTCTTCTGTAGCGGGAAGAAAGGGCTGATCTGGCTGGCGGGCAGTGTCCACGTGGCTGACAAAAAATTCTTTTTCGTTGCTCACGCAGGTTCCCAGTTCTTGGCTCCTCCCAACACCCAAACTGGTCGCGAACCCAAACCCCAACACCCAACCCCTGCACAGCGAATACGGACACCTCCCCGTGAGTGACCCACTGGGTGTCCTTCCCATCTTCCTTCCCTCCTTCCAAAACCTCAATCGACGCTTGGGCTCTGTGCTTTCCCCCCTGTCTTCTAAAAAAAGCTGGCGGGGCCAATGGACATGCGCTTGCGCACGCTCACCGCATTACTTTTCTACCAGCTAGCAGTTGCCTCGTCCTTCGCTTCAACCCATTCTTGCTGACTCTCTCACCCAGATCTCACCATCTCCCACCCTCTCAAACAGACCTCAGCGAGCACCAGTCTGTTCAGAAACGGCTGTTCGCTTGCTTGCTGTTCTTCCATTTCCCGCTCTTTCTTTGAAATCTTGCCCAGCGGCTACCATGTGTCAGGGTCAGAGACTAGTCGGCCCGGCCGACTCGATCAATCTCGTTCCGCACTCGTCAGCCCTTCCTCATCACGCCGCCGCAGCGGTTGCGGCAGCCGACCTTTTCCAACACCTTCGCTGCGACCCGTGGTCGTCGCAGTCGTCGCCGGAGTCGTCGCCGTCCTCGCTTCTGTGGTATCCGAATCAGCCCACTAGCTGTCACCGACCTGACACCGGTGGAAATAGTAGCTGCTGCACTATCAGCAGAGACGATGCAGTAGCCGACGCCGACAATTCCGCCGCCGCCGCCGCCGTCTCTGCCGCCGCCGCTGGCGCTGACGCCAATCTGAAACCCAATACCGCTGAGGTCCACAAGAACGATGCGCTGTTATTCCCGCGAGAGCGTGACACACTCGTAGAGGGCTCTGGTCAGCACGAGTCGCGCCGGCGCGTTCGTGACGACTGCCTTGTTGCTGCCGGCCGTTCTCCCGCCAAGTTTAGCGGGGTGATAGGCCTAGCGGATCCCGACAAGTCATCGAAGCGCGCAGAAAGCCAGGCTACCGCGAAGTCAGCTGCAGCGCGTCACGCGGCGGCGTTAGAGCGAGGCACGAATGACCGTCAGAGCGGCGCGGTAGTGCAGGCGGCACAATCGGAGTGGCCGGATCGGCTGCTGGAGAGCTGGTCGTCACGCGCGGAAGATGAGGGGGAGCGCTGGTGGCGGAAGGCCTCTCCGCAAGGGGGGGAAAATTCATGGAGTCACTGCTTGGCGCGCAGTGGCGCTTGCGCCGAAACCATGACGGGCAGCGGAGGCGGCGACGGTAGACAAATCTTCGGGGTCGCGCCGGAGAATGCGGCCGGTGGTGGCGGCGGCGGCACCGCTTCTGGAGAGCTGTTGATCGACGCGGTGCTCGCGGCGTGCAACGCGGCGGGACGTGAGCGAAAGGGTTTGGCCGACCCGCAGGCGGCGCGACGAATCGGCGCGATGGTCGCAGGCGGCGGTTCCGCCCCCGCCAACTCCGCTGCTGTCCTTGGCGTCTGCGCCTCCGCGAATGCCGCCGACGCAGCGGCCGCGATTCCCGGCATGCTGCCGTCCTTGGCTGAGGAATTAGAGGCGTGCATGGCGAGACGCGAGATGGCGGAGATGGCGGCGCGGGCGAACAACCTTATCACGAGCAGCACCAGCAACGGATGCGGCGGCGAGCGGCGCGGCAGTGGCTCTTCCGCCAAGTCTTCTCGGAGTAGTCAGGGGCTAGCGCAGCAGGCGGGGGTTCCACCGCCGTTCGTGTCGTCGTCGCTCGCGGAGATCGCGGCTGCTCTGGAGCGGGAAAGCGGCGGTGGGAGAGGCGGATTTGGTGATGCTGGCGGTGGCAACGGCGGCGGCAGCGGCTGCGGCGGCGGCGCCGACGGCTTGGGTCCGGCGGCCATGGCCGACGGAGGGCGGGCCGCGGGAGCCGGCGGAAAGAGGCGCCGATGGTGCGACGTGGCTGTCGCGCTGGTGGGGAGCAACAGCAGCAGCGCCAGCGCAGCGGCAGCGGCGCCGGTGGCTGCGGCGGCGGATTCTTGGGGCTTGGGGCCGGAGAAGGCCGGGCAGCAGCAGCAGCGCACAGCGTCGCTGGAGGTAAGCAGCGGTGTGGTCCGTTGTTTGCGCCGCTTCACACCGCTTCACACCGCTTCACACCGCTTCACACCGCTTCACACTGCTTCACAATTCTTCATGCCTCTTCATGCTGTCTGTGATGTGGGTGTCCGTCCACTCAAACGGTTCCTCTGTTGTGCCTGGCAGGATCAGCTAGAGGACCTCATGCAAGCCTGCCAGCAACAGCAGCAGGCAGAGACGCAGCCTCTTCACGCGGCGCTGCCTGCCCCCATGGCTGCCACGGCTCCCTGCCTCCTCTCCCCCTCCGCCTTCCCCACCTCCTCCCCCTCCGGCGCCTACTCCGCCACACCCTCGCCCTTCGCGCCGTTCCCGCCGTCGCCTCTCGCGCTCCCCGCGTGCCCGTGCTCGGGGCTGTGCGCTGCTGCGCCGTGCTGCTCGGGGTCGCTGTGCCTGCCCGTGGACTCCTCACCTGCGGACCACCACCATCCGTGGGGCTTGCACCGCGCTCTCAAGCAGCAGCAGCAGCCGCCGCCGCCGCAGCAGCAGCAGCAGCATGCGCAATGGCAGCAGCAGGGCGGGCCGTGGGAGGGCATGGGGCGATGGATGAGCTCTCTGACTGGCCACGCGTTTGTGGGCCAGCACCCGCCACTGCCGCCGCACTGCTATCGCTTGCACCAACACCAGCACCAGCACCAGCATCAGCATCAGCATCAGCATCAGCACCACCATCACTATCACCTTCAGCAGCAGCAGCAGCAGCAGCACCAGCGCGCCAGTTTAACTCGCGCTGCTTCCTCGCACAGTCTCACTGCGGCCTTCAACCCCCCGCCGATTCCCCATCTCAACGGCCCCACGCGCTTCCCCAAGGCAGCACCGGAGCAGCCCTGCTTCCCGAGCCTCTTCCCCGTGCCTGTGCCTTCCAGACGAGCCCAGCCGCCTCGGGCCCGAACCTCCGCGTCCGCGGCTGCGGCAGCGGCTGGGCTGAGGAGCGGGCGAGGGAAGGGCGCGGCAATGGCTGCCGCATCAGAGAAGGAGAACAAGCGGATTGCAGCAGCCGCGCTGCAGTGGCAGCAGCAGCAGCAGCAGCAGGAGAAGCAGGAGAAGCAGGAGCAGGGAGCGCAGGTTCTGCCAGGAGTGGCAGTGCTGCCTGGAGTGCAATCCATGCTGCTACCAGGTGCGCTGCATGCACCCACCGGATCTAGCACACCCGCTGCTGCTCCTCCTGACAGCGTTCGGCAGATTAACGGCCGAAGTTACTTTCCTCTGTGGAACGATCAGCAGCAGCAGCAGCAGCAGCAGCAGCAGAAGGGCGTGAGGCGGCACAAGCGGTTCAAGCTGGTGGGAGCGAGCAGCCAGAGCGGAGCATCAGCAGGGGGGTCCGTCACTGTGGGAGACAAGCTCTCCTTCGCTGCTGCCGCTGCTGCCGCACCTCCTGCAAGCGCTGCCGACGCAGCAGGAGCAGCAGGAGCAGCAGGAGCAGCAGCAGCAGCAGCAGCGGCGGCAGCGGCGGCAGCGGCAGCGGCAGCGTGTGGCAGAGGAGCATTGGACCTGCAGTGCTCAGAGGTCATGTGAACAACGGTGAGCGCTTGTTATTGATGATGCACCCTCCCCGCCTCCCGCTCTCCTGAGCTTTCACCTGCGGAGCGGAGGTCTCCTGGACTCCATTTTGAAACTCGAGGCTTTCTAGGCGCCTTGAGGCTCCACTGATCTTACATGCGTAGTTTCATCTCGAGTGAGTGACAGCGTTCCCTCCTGCGTGACTGCTTCTCCTTGCTGTTCTGGTGAATGCAGGCTATGATCCCTACGGAGCTGTCGCCATTACTGCACCATCCGCTCTGCCTCCATTTGTCTGCTTCTCCAATGCTCCTCCTCCTGCATCTGCATCTGCTCCTGCATCTGCATCTGCTCCTGCTTCTGCGTCTGCACCTGCCCATGCGCCTGCTCCTGCTCCTGCACCTATATGGATCCTTCTCTGCACGAGTCTTCTTCTCCTCCTCCCTCGTTCCATTGCACCGGCGTTGTCTGATCCGCCTTTCCATCTGCCCACTGTTCCGCACAGTCACAGCCCACCCACACCTCAAATGCACCACCGGTAGGCCCAATTCGTTGAGGAAGCCTCATCTTAGTCCGTTCTTAGCCTCATGGGCAATCATTCCTCGTTTCTGACACAACACGACACGTCACGGCACGCGCGTCGAATCGAGCTTTTCTAGTCAAGCGTAAGGCGCAGAAGACAAGCGCGATGAGGCGTGCGTGCGTGCGTGTGTGTCCCCGCAGCCTCGTCCACCCATTCTTTGGTCCCTTCATTCACAGGACGCCCATTCGTTGGCGCTCCTTTAGCTTTCCTTCCATCCATTCCCGCAACACCATTCTTTCGTTCGTGGACCAGCCCTGGCCCTGTGTTCTTGCCTCCGTCTCGCCACTCCTCCCTCACCAAACCATCTGTCCACCATCCCACCTCCTCGCATCGCTCACATCACATCGCCTCGCCTCGCCCTCCACCAACCCGATCATCCAAGTGCCACCACCGCACCACATCCACCGACCGACCACGCCACGCCTAGCGCTGCCAACAGCCACTGCCGCTACCACTGCCTCTGCTTCCATGCCTCCCCCGCCTGCCTGCCTCCTTGCGTGCATGCGTGCACGCCTGCCAACCGCAGGTCGGTGTTCTCTGCGATTAGGGGGCCATCTGGCTGGTCACCAACAGCTGCACGCGCAGCTCCATACGTCCATAGCACCACAGCTCCATTATTCCATTACCCCGTAGCGCTATAGCTCTTTACATATACAGCCACATAGCCACATATCCCCACAGCTCCCTAGCCTGGCCCCATACCTCCATAGCCTCGAGACTTCGTAGCTTCAAGCCTTAGTTTGCGCCTGTCCTCCCCCTGCAGCCCCCCTTGTCCCTGTGCTGTCCGTGTGCTGCTCTCCTTGTCAACCTCTATGCTCCCGTGCCACAGTTGTGTGTGTGCGCTTTGCGGTGTTGTGCTGTGCAGTGCAGTGCTGCGCTGTCCTGCGCGGTTCTGTGCGGTGTGGTACGGTGCGTCGCGGCCTCACTGGTGCCACGGTAGGGCTGCCATGTCAGCGAGACAGCCAGGCCAACCTACTACACCCAAGTCCCACATGCCCCCTGGGGTTTAGGGTTTAGTTTGTGCCTGCTCTAACAGTCATAGTTCAGTAACCACACTGGTTGCGGGTTGGTGGCTACTCAGGCTCATGTGCATGTGCATGTGCATGTGCATGTGTATGTGCATGTGCATGTGCATGTGCATGTTCATGTGCATGTGCATGTGCATGGACTGTGGCCCATGGGCTTAGGGTCCTGCATGCAGGGTGGGGAGGAGGCAGGGTGGGGTGGGAGAGAGCAAATGTGGATGGAGCATTCAAGTGCAAAGCATAGGCAGGCTTATCATAGGCGTTGGCTGTTGTTAGTGGGACCTTTGAGAACCTTACATTAATTTCATACGGTAATTTCTTTATCTGGCATGCTGTTTGGTTGCCTTTTGCAAGTGTTATCTATGGCTAATGCATCTGTGGTGCTAGCACATCTGTGGTACCGTATCGCTTAAAGCCAGCAGCTAAAATAGTGACCCCCCCCCCTTCTAGTTGGACCCAACTTGAATTTTGAAGTTTTTTTGCAATGTTTACAAAAAGTTGGACTGCTCTGCTTTGGTTTTTTCAACTTCAGACAAGTTTTGCATGAAGCTGGAACAAAAGAGATTCTTTTTCAATTCTGATTGGCAGCGAGATGCTCCCAGTGTTCATGTTCGAATTTGGCGCAAAGGTGAGCGATGTGCACTCCTGCAAACACTTGAACCAAACTCACATCTAACGACACAAAAAGGTAAATCCCAATGTCAAAATGAAGAATGGATGATGCATTGATGTTGGTTGGGGTACATATAGCTAACCCTAAGTTTTGTACCCCCTAAGACAAACCTCACTATAGGCTACAACATTTGACACACCCCCATAGCCTAAGTGAGGGGTGTCTAGCAGAACCAAACGAGTACGGTCACAAGACCAGTCCAAGAAACGAAGCTCAGGGTGGATCACAACGTCACCACACAGTCTGAGCACAAACAACAGTGGCCACAAGGCCAGTCCAAGAAGTAACAGAGGTATATAGAAAGCAAAGTAAACAGTACACTCAAGTCTAAGCAACACGAGAACCAGTGTCAACAAGGCCTAACTGCACACAGCACCTCTGGTGGTCACAAGGCGGAAGCGCCTTGGTGAAGATGTCTGCAGTGTTGGCCTCGGACTCCACAAACTCAAAGCGAGCCTGTCCACGCCTCTGCAACTCTCGCAGAAGAAAGTACCTGACGTGAATGTGCTTCACTCTGCTCTCCAGTCGTGGCTCTCGACAAAGGAGAATAGACGCCTTGTTGTCAGTGAACAAGGTCGGTGCAGAGCTCGGCCGCTCACCAAGGTCGGTGAGCAAGAAGGTCAACCAACGCAGCTCCTGTGCCGCCATGGCACCAGCGTAGATCTCAGCCTCAGCTGTAGAGGTCGAGACCGAAGAGGAGCGCGTGGACCGCCAGGAAACAGCTCCAGAACCCAGGCTGAAACAGTACCCCTGAGTAGACCTGTGAGTCTCAGCGTCGTCAGCGTAAGAGGAGTCACAGTGACCAGTAAGTACGACAGACTGCTGCCCTCCAAGAACTAGCCCCACGCCTGACGTCGTCGCTAGGTACTTCGCCACCCTCACAGCTGCTGTCCAGTGAACAGGACGGTGTCTCCCTGGCGCAACAAAGCGCGCAAGAACGCTGAGAGGGAAGGCGAGGTCCGGGCGAGTACAAGTCATCAGGTACATGAGGCAACCCACAAGCTCTGCGTAGGGACCACTAGGCTCGAACGGCTCGTCAGGAAAGGGTCCAGTGAGTCTGTGGTCAACAGCAAGAGGTGTGCGCTGTACTGTGGAGTGCTGAAGCCCGAACCGCTGAAGGACCTGCTGCACCATGTGCGACTGTGAAAGTGTAATGGTGCAAGCAGCTCTGTCCCTGGTGATCTGCAGGCCAAGGTAGTGGCGCAGCTCACCAAGATCAGTGCAGGTGTGTCTCTTCTGCAGTTCGGACTTCACGTGTGCCAAAGCAACCCTGTCAGGGGTGGCGAAAACAAGGTCGTCAACGTAGACCAGAACAAAGAAAGGTGTGGGGCCACGACGAACGAACAGCGACGGGTCAGCAGAAGACGGCTGGAACCCAAGGTCAGACAGGGTAGAACGCAGGGTGTCGTGCCACTCACGAGGAGCCTGACGAAGACCGTAAACCGGTCGCCTCAGCCTCCACTGGGTCCCAGGAGGGAAAGAGCCAGTGAAGGCAGAGGGACGACGCAACCAGACCTCCTCGTGAAGACTGCCCTGAAGGAAAGCAGTAGAGAAGTCGAGAGAGTGTAACTCGTAGTCTCTCTGTGCTGCTACGTGTAGTAACACCCGAAGAGTGGTCATCTTCGGGGTGGGCGCGAAGGTCTGAAAGAAGTCAACTCCCTCGCGCTGACTGAAACCTCTAGCCACGTAGCGCGCCTTGAAGACCGGAGGAGATCCCGGTGGCCGCTTCACCCTGTAGATCCACATGCCGTCGACTACGTTCGCCCCCGGAGGGGGAACCTCATCGACGTAGGTGCCTGTGGATCTGTAGGAGGCCATCTCTGCGTCCATGGCAGCTCTCCACTGAGAGGCCCAAGGCCCTGACACTGCCTCAGCGTAAGTGCGAGGAGTCGGAATGTCAAGGGCGTCGGGGTCACCCTCAGGGGCGAGGAGCATGGCACAGAGATGAGGGGAAGCGGCCGCCAGGAACTCTAGCTCAAACTGCCTGTCCTCTAGGGCGTCACAGCCAAGGGCAGACACACCCCCGACGGCCAGAGGACTGGAAGGAGGAGCAGCCACAAGAGCGGTGGCGAAGTCAAGGCGGCGGGTAGAGGCAAACTCAGTGACTGCGGCAGTAAGAGCGGACACAGAGGACACAGAGGCACGAGGGTGGGTAACAAGAGAGGCGAGAACACGAGAGAGAACAGGACGGTACGTGCGGTAGTAGTCAGTGACAGGAGAAGGAAGCGACACAGTGAGGGCCGACTCAGGAGGAGACGGAAGCACAGACGGAAGCACAGACGGAGACGGACGAGGTGGACGAGAACAAAGGAAGGCTGTACGAAGGTCAGTGAAGGGAACAGGAGACGAGGGACGAGCACGAGGGGA